ACTTGGCCTCCATTAACGCAAACCTCATTCCCACACAATTTCTCGGTCCGGCGCCGAACGGCAGGTATGTATAGGGCGTGAGTTTATCACGATTTTCGGGTAAAAACCGATCGGGAATGAAGTCATGGGGTTTGGGATAGTATTCCGGGTTGTGATGAATGGCGTGAATAGGAATAATCATTTCAATGCCTTTTTCAACAGTTATTCCGGTATCGCCTGTAATAAAGTCAATAAATATTTAGTAATTTAAAAAAAACAATTTTGAAGAAAGAATTACCTAATTTATAGTCTTCTGTTCCCACACGACTGGTCGCCGGCGCCGGACTATAGAATCTTAATGTCTCACTAATACATGCGTCCAAATACGGCAATCGGATTATAGTGTCGTAATCCAGGTTTCCGTTGGCGTCAGTGTTTGCCACCACCTCTTCCACCAATTTCTTCTGACACTCGGGATTAATGGCCAACAAATAGCTCATGTGTGACAACAGATGACCAGTGGTTTCAAATCCGGCCAATAAAAAGAGAAAACTGTTGGCCAATATGTCGAGATCTGTCACTTCTAGTTTGGATTTGTTAGTCAAGAGTTTGCTGTTGTCATCCATCCCGTGGTGCGCCTCCGCGGCCATCAGTTGGTCGTCGGTGTCCTCCAAGTCGTTTACATTTTTCTGTGCGTTAAGCATAAGTTGGAGAAAATCGTGATGGCGTCCACTCTTGTCTTTCTTTCTTTGATTCACAATTTCAGTAATCTTTTAATGCAATAATTGTTTAGTAAATTAAATAAAATCCTATAATAACTATAATAAATGACAACTACTCACAGCTTTTTTAAAGAAGTCAGTAGTCGTCGGCTCTAATATAGATATGTTGAAGAATTTCATCACTGGTTTCATTGTTAAGAACATAAAAGATCTCCAAATGTTTTGATTAAACAGTTTCTTAGCGTTGATTATAAACGGATTTTTTGGATCGTTATGTGTGTCTGTCTTCGTAGCGAAGGCACAGCTGGCGATCACATCCATAGTGTAGTTACCCATTAGTGATCGCACGTCAACCTCTTGATCGCCGTTAGCCGCCTTTTCCAGCATTTTGTCCACACCTTTAACGCAGTGCTCAACCAATGCATACATTTTACGGATTTTTCCGGTACTGAATGTCGGAGAAACCTTTGGTCATAAATATTGGAAATATAAATAAATTTGTAAACTAATCATGTAGTAAATGAGTCTTACAATAGATCGCAATCGTTTCCACTCATCATCTTTAACGTTTGTCAACATTTGGTCCATTATTTCATCAATAGATCCCAAATTGCTGCGATTTACAAATAGGTGAAAGTCTTTGATCATAATATTCTTCACCAATTCTGGATCGGCTACTGTTAGTTGTGGTTTTGATCCCATATACACACTATTAGTTTGGATTAAACATTCAATTTCTTAGTCAAGATTTATTTAAAATAAAAGAATTAAATTGTGTTAAATTTTATACAAACAATATGTTTACCCATAAATATTGCCGTATTTTTTGTGCCTTTTTTCCTCTGTTTCAGCAAAAGTACGGAAAAAGAATTCCCAAACATTTCCTAATAATACGATAGGTTTGGGACCTTTTATACCACGAGATGACCAGTAATTGAAATTACGACTCAAATAACTAAATATTTAATTAAAAATATATTTTGATTATTTAATATATTAGATAAAAATGTTAAAAATTAATATAATTATAATATAATATTATTATACATACAAATAAAGGCCAATTAGTGCCGAAATTACAACACCAAACGCGGTATAACCCAACGAAAACATTATTTAGTTAAATAGTTATTAAGTTAATTATTTTTATTAAACTATTTGAAAAGAAACTCAAATGAAAACTTTAAGAAATAATATCCAATAAAGTAATGTTTGTTTGAAAACTTAACGTTCAAATGTTATAAAAATAGTAAAACGTCAGTCGCTTTATATACTCTAAAACTACTCTCATATTTACATTAGGAATATGTGTTTAAATGAGAAGTTTATTATATCCATAGGTTGAGTACATTAAGGCCGCGATAAACCTAACTTTGTTAACCAAACAACAAACACTATTCCAATGGTATACACAAATACAGCAAAATGTTAGTTGCATTGAATGAAATCGCTGTATAATTAAAATATACATGTAAAGTATGTATTGCATTGACAGTTTAAATTCTGGTATATAAAAAATAGTGATATAAGTTATCTGACCTTCAATTGCATTACGAAATAATTGTCTAACCACTGCTTTGTATAAGCATTGCATCCCTTTATTATTGTTTGTATTGAATAATGTATGATTTATTTTAGTAACAATTGATTTAAAATTATTGTTAATTTTAGTTAAAAACATCAGTCAAATAATACAATAACAATAACTGTGTTAAACTACTTTATCTCTTCATTTTTAATGTAAACCACTTGTGCCAATAATTTATGGCATAAATATTAAATTCTTAAATTATTCTTATAAAGAATTTACAAAGCATATATTTTTTTTGCAAAATTTAATGTTGGGATCATATACATGTGACATGATACAAATTTTTTTTATCGACATTATTTTTAAAATGTATTAATAAATGACATTAAATTCCTAAATTAACTAATTTAACAAAAGTAAAAAATCATATTGTTTAGTTTAATGTTGGAATTACATTATTAGATGATTTGTATTTCAATGATTACTATTTAAATAATTTATGGTTCAGAGATGAGATCATTCAAGTCTGACAGCAGAGTCATCATAATGCATTCAATTAATGTCTGTGTTTGATCCCAATGTTGATGATTTTTGGTGCTATAGTTCCACGTGGTATTATAAGCGGCACTTCAGTACTCTTTGAGCGGAATAACTCGTATTTAGTGATAATGTGTGCCATCACTGACTTGGCCTCCATTAACGCAAACCTCATTCCCACACAATTTCTCGGTCCGGCGCCGAACGGCAGGTATGTATAGGGCGTGAGTTTATCACGATTTTCGG